CAGTGGAACAACATTACATCCATATCAAAAGATGAGATGCAGTTCTGCACACAGTTAACTCAGCTTGATCTCTCCAATAACAAACTATACAGTGTCCCTGCTGTCGTCAACAGCCTACCAGGTCTTCGTTTTTTGGACCTCACCTTCAACAATATTAAGAACATAAGTAGTGTTGATTTAGCTAACTTAACCCAATTACGGACCCTTCAGATTTATAGCAATGAAATATCTTTTATTGAGGAATTTGCTTTTAAAGATCTGAAAAATTTAACAACTCTAATGATTGGGTCTAACAGACTCTCTCTCAACAGATATTTTAAAAAAGATCTTCAAAAACTTGAGAATTTGGATCTAGCAAATAACAAGCTGGACTCTGTCCGTAGGGGAGATTTTGACTCCTTAAATTCACTGAAGAATTTGTCTCTACCAGACAATCAAATATCATGTATTGAAGCGGGGTCCTTCAATAGACTGACAAATTTAATTTTCCTGAATTTGCAATCAAACAAGCTCTCTCAGTTTTCAATAAAAGCTTCTGTGTTCTCCAGACTCCCAAACCTGAAAACACTTCTGTTGAACAATAACTATATTTCATATGACAGTCAAGAGCCTCTTGAACAACCACCCTTTCAATATCTGAGAAAGCTAAAGACTCTGAAAATTTTTAGCCAAGGTCATAAAGGAATGCTTTATTTACCTTCAAATCTTTTCAAGGGTCTGTGGAATTTGGAAGAACTTCAAGCAGAGAATCTTAATATAAATTCTTTACATCCCGATACATTTACTTATACTCCTTATCTGTGGGTACTGGATCTCAGCAGAAATGATTTTATTTCACTCACAACAAAAATATTTCTGCCACTCCAGGTCCTCAAGACACTCCACCTGTCTAAAGTCGGCTTGCAATCTTTGGACTTTCTCATTAATGCAAATCTCAGTAAACTGCATCTGTTGCATGTAAGCAAGAATGCATTATCAGTCATTAATGAGACATTGATCCGGTCTCTTCCAACATTGATTTACCTTGATCTACGAGGAAATTATCTCTCATGTGACTGTACCAATGCCTGGTTCGTCAACTGGACCATTAGTTGCAATGACACAGAAGTTGAAAGTGCTTATGAACTCACATGCAATTACCCAGACAAACTCAAAGGACATAAACTCTTGGATCTTGATATAGGTTCATGTAATGTAGATGTTGGGTTTTTCTGTTTCATTTCCACAGCCACACTAGTCTCTGTGACCCTCCTTGGCTCTTTTCTCTTTCACTTCCTCAAATGGCAGGTTATTTATGCTTACTACCTTTTCCTTGCTTTACTCCATGATAACAAACAGCAGAGAAAGCCCAATGTTTTGCAGTATGATGCTTTTATTTCCTATAACGTTCATGATGAATTGTGGGTAATGAGGGAACTTTTACCTCAGTTGGAAGACAAGCAAGGCTGGAAGTTGTGTCTGCATCACAGGGACTTTGAACCAGGCAAACCTATCATGGATAATATTGTTGATGGCATTTATAGTAGTCGAAAAACCATCTGTGTGATTAGCCGTCACTACCTGGAAAGTGAGTGGTGTTCCAGAGAGATCCAAGTTGCTAGTTTCCGTCTCTTTGATGAGAAAAAAGATGTTCTCATCCTGGTATTCCTGGAGAATATTCCAAGTCATCAACTGTCTCCGTACTACAGAATGAAGAAACTAATTCAGAAGAAGACATATCTCA